AGGAGTAGTAGTAAGAAATAAGCAGTAAGCAAATTGACCAATTCCATTCTCACGTTTCAAAAATAATCGATTGTGATTGGTCTATTTACTTACTGCTTATTTCTTACTACTACTCCTACTACCATTGTAGAAGACTCTTAAGAGAGAGTGATAGAAGACTGAAGGATAGAAGATGGACGGTAATTGGCTCACTAGAAAAAAAGTGTTCTATGATCGCAATGCGCAAGCGTGGCGAAAAAATGTAAACACATATATATATATATATATATATATATATATATATATATATATATATATATATATATATATAAACATAGCGACGTCGGTCAAGTCATTTCTCACTGGAAATGTATTAAAGAAACTGAGTAATTGATAATAAATAAGAAAAATAAATATGGAAAGTATAAAGTTGTGTGTGTGTGTATGAAGTAAGGTATCAAGGCTCTTATTCTTGAAATAGTTGCGTATACGTAAGTTTTACTGCGCAAGTTTAATCATACCATAAAATAGCTGCGCAATGAAAATTACGTATACGCAAAAATTTCAAGAATAGAGACCCAGGTCTAATCATATTGGCTTAGACCTATAATGGAAGGGTAAACGTTACACATGCGCTTTGCACAGACAGAACACTGATATTGATACAGAAAAAGGGTTACGCGACATTTTCCCAAAAACTAAATGAGAAAATGGTGGTACCAACAAAAACCCCTAGACAACAATTTTAATTTCAACGGATTAGTGATACTGTTGAAGTAGCAAGTCCATGAATTTTGCGGAGTCGTTTTGACATATGCGTGTGTATATGTCAAATAACTGTCACTAATTCGTAGAAATTAAAATTGTGATACTAAGGGATTTTTGTTGGTACCAACATTTTTTTATCTAGTTTTCGGGAAAATGTCGTGTAACCAGAAAAAGACAGATGAGCATTGTCTGCACCGTAGTGTTGCGGTACCGCTGAGAGCTCTACGTATCATATATTTTAGTATTACATATATGATTAAAAGAGAACTTAGAATACGGGTCTATGTCCATGAAAGTTCCGCTCGAAGTACGCTGCCCTGATTGGTCTATCGGCTACTCGACATTCGACAGCGACATACGACGTATTGTAGAACCGGCTTAAAGCCGCCTTAAAATTTTAAGTCCGCTAAATTTGAATTTCAAATCTGTAGTTGATATCTAAAATCAATCTAAAGTCTAAAATTGAGAAGGTAATGATAAATAAATATTTAATAAAATCACAAATACATATTAAAAATTATGTTTTCTTTATAACGCGCGCAAATTGCAACATTATTATCTTTGAATAAGATACGCATATAATGGAAATATATGAAAGAAAGGTACTCCAGTGCGTAAAAAAAGAACAAACCTTTTATTTTGCTGTGCTGACAAGTATATACAGAGAGTGAGGAAACGAATAAGACAAAACACCTCTCACTCTATTCGGAGCTACCATTTTCCGGTTGCATTCTCTTTAGCTGAAGTATAAATGCTTGGTCTATGTTTTACATATATATGTCATTGATGTCATTCTTATCACTCCTTGTGAATCTTTGACAGCGTATCTTATCGATGATTCGACTCGTAGATATTTTCTCGCACTCGTCAGATTCTGCTGGGTAGTATTTTTAGCGACGAGACAATTTCGAACACGTAAAATTCCGCGAACAATCGACGAGTTATTCTTCGTTCGTTATCGACAGTCTCGAGTTTTCCCGGCTCAAAATGTGTCTGTCTATGACAGCGTTCAGTCGACGAGGATATGTTTCGAGGGATATCGTGCGACTTAACAGCAAACAACCTAATTATTATCCTAATCATAACAAAATGTTATTAATGGATAGCACATTGCCACGACGATATCCCATGTCGTCGTGTATCGCTGACATTTCGCGGATCTTGAGCGCTTCCTCCGAAAGCTGTAGGACGTTCTCTTCTGCGAGGACTCCGATATCTTTCGAGGATGTCTCTGAAGCTCTGACAAAGCAACGAGCGAAAGAATTTACTTCAAAACTCACCTCCGAGGAGCGCAAACTCTTTCTAGCCGCATTAAATGAATCCAAATCTGAAGAGGATAAAGCTGGCTATGAAGGTAAATAGATTGTGATTAAACTCGCGCAATATATTACAAATTATATATTATAATATCGTATTTCTATGAGGTCAACTGGCGGCTTTCCGATGGAGGAGCAAACTTGGTAGACCCAGTAAAATTCCATCCCTTGGTGAAGTAGATCCTACAGGAACCTATTGTCCTGTGCCAGATGATTGGCTGAATCGCAAGTATGGTAGGGATGCAAAATTTACTATTTGTGATTTGTGATTTTAAGTCTTGTATGTCTTAACTTTTGTCAGCTGGATGAGAGGCCACTGAAAAAAATATATATAATTTTATTTGAGAAAGCAAAGTTGGATAGGATGCAGTGTTTCTTGTTACATTTGCGAGAGCATTACAAACATTAACTTAAACTTATTACCTGTAGATCTCGCAAAATAAAATTAACACCCTCGACTGTTATTTCATAGTAACTTTGGATATAATGGAATCTTTTTCCTGCAATGCGATCTCCATGGATGTTATTCTGTAAGTTAAACTTACCTCATTCTCTTGTTCTCTCTTTGTCTTCCCCTCTTTCTATTTTTCTCTCTCTCTCTCTGTTTTAATTACACTAACCCTTTTATCTGTTTCTACTCTGATTCAACTTTTTGGATGTTTTACAGTCATCTACAATGCTGCAGTTAGGTAATACTTTCGACACTTTTTTAGGATTTCCTTTCCACTTAAAGCTCTTTTATTGTGAGAATTTGTTTTAATTTTTTTCTGAAACTAATGGATGATTAAATTATACAATTTTATCTCATCTCGTTTTTCTTCTTCTTCTTCTACATCCTGACTTTCCGATCTTTGATAATAAGTATAAGTTGTTTTAAAGGTATATCAATATGTAATTTCAAAATATAAGTTCCAGTAAAAATCGATAATAATAAACAGTTGGGAATGTATGTTTATGTTTTTAACACATGATGTACCTAACATTTTTGCTAAACTGTAAAATCTTAAAACTAGAGTTATTTAAAATTTTTTTTATTAAATATGAAGCTTGCTAAAACTTATTTCAAATATCATAGAATGTCATTTTATATCCTACAACCTTTTTCATATACTAACAGATAACAATCTTAATACAATATTTTACCATTTGAGAATATAGTTTGCCCTAGGAAAAAGAAACATTCCAAGATTTTGTAATCGATTGTGGGATCAATCACATTTTAGAGTATATTTTTTCAAACTTTAAACCAGTAGAATTAATTATTCAATGATTTGGCTCTCAGCTGAAGAGTCCAATGTAAGATAAAATGAAAGAGTTTTTGTAAAATTTATACACGTGAGCAAACAATGTATACCTTGAATGTATATCTTGAAGGATACAATTTCAAATTAGAAATTAAAAATTTGTAAAAGAAAATGTTACTCCATTGTGGCCTTCATCTTTTCAGGTATACAACGTTTGCATGTAATGGGTTAAATTATGTGGAGAATAGATCTTGTAGAGCATTTAGTGCTTGCTAATTTTATCAAACGATTACGTTTAGCAATATAATTAACTTGTAGATACATGTTCAACTTTTTCCCGTTGCAGTTGAAAATGTTGCAGAACTATCCACGAAAGATCTGGTGCTAGGTATGCATTCATTTTTTTATTAAAGAATACAACTAATGCATGTTATGTAACTATTGTGATAATATAGTAGTTGCTTGTATCATGATGTTACGTAAGTTTTTACATATATGCAATATCGTGAAATTTATTATATTTGTTTCACAATGATTGAGGCAAGATAAATTTCGTGCGCAAATATGAAATCTTTCATTTTTTACTCACGATTTCAAGTAAAATTCATTTGAACGAGATTTGTCCACGAAATTCATATCACAATATCACAATTAATATTTTACAAACTATCAACAAAAAGAAATATATAAACGAATAATTTTGCACATTATATTTTTGCAGTTGCAATCGCAAACGCGATTCCATTTGTCGGATTTGGTTTCCTCGACAATTTCATCATGATTGTCGCGGTATGTATTTTACGGGTTCCCGTGTCGTGTGCAGACTCCTAAAATTGCTTGATTTTTCAAGGGCGATCAAATTGAGATGTTGTTCAACGCGAAGTTTCCCATCTCGACCATGGCAGCAGCCGCGCTGGGCAACACGGTGTCCGACGTCATCGGAATCGGGTCGGTGCATTACGTTGAAATATTCGCCCAGAAAGTCGGCTTCGAAGCGCCGAAGTTAACACCTGCGCAATTGAATCTACCCAGGACGCGGGTGGCCGCGAACATGGTACGATTCTCTCGTCGCATTTTGTATTGAATTAGAGAATCTTATCACTTAGAGAAACGAATCATTGTGTGGGAGCTCCTGGAGATAATCGGGATTAAAAAAGTCGGCACTTGAATTTTTGCTGGAAAGAGCTCGTAACTTTATTTTGAACCATCGCGCGTTGTTTTGCAAATTATCACTGACTCCTGGATTTTTCAAATAGAAAGTAGAGTATTTAATTTTTCACATTCAATAATTTAACAATTTGTGTTGGAATTTAATATATTTACGAAAATTTTATACCGTCGCCCCCTTGAATAATATCAACGAAAAATTATGTTAACTCTTCATTTAATGTACAGGGCCGAGTCATTGGAGTTACAATTGGATGTCTCCTGGGTATGACGCCTATACCGATAGCCGCGCTTTTCCGTAACGGTAGCTGAATTGTCTAAAGAAGAGGGAACGCCAGTGGATGTTATGTTCGAAAATTAGGAAGCTATAATTAATTCACTTGTGAATTAGGGGGCCGTAACCGTCCTGCACTTGCAATAAGCACTTTATCACAAATTCCTCTACAAACATTTCATCTTTAACTACAATAACACGACTTTTATCTTACTAAGTGTATTTAATGTATAAATCTATAAAGTGTGTTAAACAAAGTTTATATAATAATTATTATTATTAATAGATAAAAGATTTCTCAATAATTAGAAAAAACTTTGATATAAACCAATAATAACAACATTATAAATATAAAAAAAAGAAAAAAAAATATATATTACAAATATTCGGTACAAGATAAAAATAATGAAAAAGCGCGTCTATTGGTATCGAACGTTGCATAAAAGTTGATATAAAAATATATATATATTTATATATTTGTTTGTCACGTGCACGCGTACACGTATGCATATCTAAATTTCTTTCCCAAAAACCTTTGTCTAACGGTCGAACCGTCGACTTTGAACTAAAAAATCAATACTAGTTGATTTTGAAAAAATCTTGCGATGTAAATAGATTAATCTTGTCCCAAATGTCGTCAACTGATTCAGAATTGAGAATAGCACTTTTTGACAATGCAGCATGAAGTCCTCAGTGTTCCTTATCCTCTGCTTTTGCGTTGAATTAAACGAAAACTTTGTGTTATCGAAAATTGATTGAGTGTCATCAAACTTGATGATCTGGCTTATGCAGTTCTTAGAATCAGAGTATTCGGCCAACCAAGTCATGGTCGAGTTCAACCACCACTGCCAACTGTCATTGCTGTCGTCGCTGTTGTTAACATCATTACCAACGTAATCGCTCCTATTTTGGATTTTTGCGACGATATGATCCTCATCTTTGTAGTCGTCGGACAACGAACAAGCAGACATCATATGCTCGTCATTGAACACACAAGATCGCGCACCAATGAGAGGATTCGGCGAAATGTTGTTGCACGATGTAACGTTCGTTTCGTTTAAGTCCACGAACTGCCACGACCGGACAAACCAAATGCAACACAAAGTGACTGTCTCAAGAACAAGTGTGCTTCCAAACATAATTAAGAAGCAGGCTACATAGGCCGTCAGACAGATACCGCAGACTAGTACAAGAGAGTTCGCAATTGCAATCAATTGGTCAGAATTCATAAGGCAGTTTAGCTCGGTATATGAGCACCAGCCTCGCTTCTGCACTTGCCGATAAGCCAAATCTTTCTCCAATTGTCCCAGCCTTTCCCAAAACGTTTCTTCCCGCACAAACACCATCCAGTTCTGCGAATAATTAATAAGAGAATTAATGGAATGTTTTGCAATTAACAACCAAACAATATGTGGTAAGTAAATTAATACGATTGGTATTGATTATAAATAATAAATATTGTGAATAATATAATGACAAAATCAGGGTTGGGAACGTTACTTTTTAAAAGTAACGCGTTACCGTTACTGATTCTAAAAAGTAACGCGTTACTGTTATTTGAAAAGTAACGATAAAAAAATCGTTACTTTCCGTTCCTTTTGTAAAAAAAAAAAGTTAAAATCGACATATAAAACGAATAGTAGAAGAGAGAGTACATAAGTTATATAAAGATAAGATATATAAATATAAGATATTTAAGCGGGAAACACATTATTGCATAAAGCCCATTCTACATTAGTCGCAAATCGCAAGGTCGCAAAGAAATTGACTAATCATAGTCGATTGTTCTTCTTGCGATCGAAGAATAATCAATTATGATTGGTACAATTTTCTTGCGATCTTGCGATTGCGACTAATGTAGAATGAGCTTTAAGCCCGTATCAGACTACGGATTAAGATTGATTGAATTGAAAATTGGCCAATCAGAGCAATGTTCACCAAACTTGAGCTTAGTGAATTTTGCTCTGTTTGGCTAAATTTCAATTCAATCTCAATCCTTATCTATAGTCTGTTACGGGCTTTAGGGGCGCCGCACATGAATTGACATAACAGTAACATAAGATGTACCGTAAAAATGGACCAATTACAATCGAGTATTCACAAAAATGGCGACCTTACGGTTCGACGATACTCAAAATGATTGGTCAGTTCTTACGGTACGTCTTACGTTACTGTTATGTCAATTCGTGTGCGACGCCCCTTAAAGGCCATCACACACAAAATTCCGTAAGAACTTAAATCGTAAGCGTAACGAAATCGACCAATCCCAATCGAGTATTCGGCTCTTCATAATAATGGAGGGGTAAGAGCCGAGTGTTCGATTGGGATTGGTCGGTTTCTTTACGCTTACGTTTTAAGTTCTTACGGAATTTTGTGTGTGATGGTCTTAAGTGTGGTCTACAATGAGAACTTAAGCCATAAAATTTTATCTTTAAATCCTAAGCCATAAGAAATTGACCAATCACAGTCAATTATAAGAAAAATAATTTCTTACAGCTTAGAGATTAAAGCTTAAATTTTATGGTTTAAGTTCTTATTGTAGACCACACTTAAGGCCATCACACACAAAATTCTGATACAAAAAAGTAACGGCGTTACCAAATCGTTACCAAAAAAAAGTAACGTCGTTACAAGTAACGCGTTACTTCCCAATCCTGGTCAAAATGTTATATTAATTGTTATAAAATTACATTTCAGTAATTTTAATAAATATATGAAAATATTACTTTTTGTTTGTTCAAATATTAGTTTTGTTAATTTTAGTATTGTCATGTAAATAAATATAATATTTCAAAAAGTGCAGATCAAAATTATATCAGACATTACTTACAACTGCTTTAAGAAACTCCATTTCTAATTTAATTGTTCTAGACAAGGTTATCCTTCCTGAAATTGCCCATGCTGCATCCACAACTTCGTCTTCTGAACCATCATCGTGTAGAAATTTACTGGCCACCATCTAACAATTTTTGATAAAATATTCATTTGAATAATGTAATATACAAATTATGAAATCAATGATAACAATTTGTAATTTTAATTTAAAAAAAAGTGGCAATAAAATAGGATAATTACCAAAGATATTAAGTATAGTTCGAGTGGTGCTACTTGTTGAAGATATTTGGGGTTACAGTTTTTCAGTCTTTCAACATATAGTAGAGCTAGCACAAGTGCACAAGGGGAAGCACTTATAGCATTAGATATTCTACTTGTTTCTTCCATATCAAGTTTTTCTAGTAGATGACCACTTGCTTCTGTGAAGAACTCAGATGCTAATTCTGAAAACATAAGAAAATGTTTTATGTACAACTGTTGTATAATGACTCAGCTTGACTATTGATAATAATATTGGCTGCGTTCAGAAAATATAGCTGATCAGTGAGCAGTCAGTGATTACTGGTCTTTATTGTTAGATTCCCTAACTTTAGACCAATTACGTTGACTAATTACTCAACCGTTGTGTAACTGTTGTGTCTCCTGAACGCACCCATTGATTCTGCTTGAGAGAATCAGTTGTATGTATATATAATATAATACTATATTTTTAGGTTATATATATACTAACCTAAAAGTGGTAAAGATAAGTAATTGGTCACTGGTTTTGTAGGGTAGTATAATGATTTCTTAATGTGATTCAAGAACTCTGTACTTCTCAGATCCTGTAATAAAATAAGTTGTATAAGTCAGGAGTTTTAACTTATTAAGAGATAATATCAAAAGTACGATAATGTATGTGTGTGTGTGTGTGTGTATGTATATATATATATATGCATAACGAAAGCATAACACACTCTCTCTCTCTCTCTCTCTCTATCTATATATATATATATATATATATATATATATATATATATATATATACATATATATATATATAAAAAGTTGCTTTTGTTCAATATTGATGATACTTTCATTCAACAGTCCGATTATATGAGTGCTTATTTCAGTTTATTCCACTTTAATATAATGTTCGATGTGTGAAGATTGTTCCTAAAAATAATATAGTACATCAGTATGCATAATGAAATACCTGTATTTTCGTCGGCATATTCCCTGTATTTTGAAGAATTTTCATTAATGTTAAATATCCGTAAATACTAGGAACTTCTATATGAGATTACTTCAGGAATACTGTATAGTTGCGAATAAATTACGTTGATGAGTGTAATGCAAGAATTTGTAAAAAAAATTTGATTACAAACTGCACTATATATCCTGCACATGTACGTGCCCTATAATTTAGGTTAAAGGCCTGCAGAAGCCAAGACAAATTTGGAGTTGAGTTTAGAGACCTCATGCGGCGAGAATGCAAAACACCGTCTTTGTGTATGAATCATAGATATTAAACTAGATTGTTAACAAAGGCCGCGTTCAGTAGAACAAGTGATCAGTAAGCGCTTAGTGAGCTCTTGCATCTGATTGGAGTATAGTTGGAGATCTAAAAGAATATGCCAAATCATATACAAGAGCTCCCTGAGCGCTTACTGATCACTTGTTCTACTGAACGCGGCCAAAGGGTATGTTCCGGATTGGAAACAACAGTTTATAAGTTGGTATTGACTGTCGGGAAATCGTTCCACAATCTGCAGCAGTTAAACATCATGGCTGAATAATATTCGTATATAAAGGTAAATCGTTCGTTTGTTGTTTTCGTTTATAATAATTAATTTTTTTGAAATCGGATTAAATGACTTTCAGTAATTTATAAAAGTAAAGCCAGCGGCACACGATGCTTATTTTCGTGCTGAATTGCTTGCTGGATGGAAATACTCTATTCTGATTGGTGCGTCTTCAGAAATGCACCAATCAGAACAGTATTTCCATCCAGCAAGCAACCGAGCATGAAAACAAGCATCATGTGCCGCTGGCTTTATTGAATATCCGAGACTGTTAAAAAATCTTTCCGTAAAACACAATTTAACTGTATCATTTAAAACATCTTGATTTTGGAGGTTATCTTATGTTTACGTATTGTTTTTATGTTAACAGTTATCTAAAATATTATGGATTATCAAAAACAAATTCTCCTCATTGCATTTGACGAATTGAAGAAGTTATGATTTCGTCAAATGCAATGAGGAGAATTTGCAATGTTTTATTCATTGACTTGGTTTACATCGTGCACTTGATACGCGTATTAAATAGTAACTTTCTATTAAATAATCTTAATATCGACAATGCATATCAACGGCGATGCATTCAATCAATACAATATGTTTTGTTGATGAGTATTATACCACCTTAATATACCGTTGTTTATATATATCTTCGATATTAAGATTATCTAATAGAAAGTTACTATTTAGTACGCGTATCAAGTACGATGTAAACCAAGCCATTGTTATGTCCCGGCGGGTTGCGGCCACGTTGCCATGAAGAATAGCGCTCGAACCCTAGCACGGGATCGGATCGCAATTTTTGGGGCCAAACGAATCGCGTGATTCTACCCGGGGATCCGTGCGATCAAGGGCAATCGCGATGGATTTCGCGCAAGACGCGTAGTATAACCCTTACGGTGGGTCGGACAGTCGCAGGCGTTAAGCCCGTATCAGACTATCGACTGCACCGGCCGACCCGACTGCCGACTACGACTGCCGACTTTCAATGGATTAATCACAGTGAGGTGCCGAGTCAGCGCCTCACTGTGATTAGTCCATTGACAGTCGGCAGTCGGGTCGGCCGGTGCAGTCGGTAGTCTGATACGGGCTTTAATCGTAGTTTCGCGCATTACTCAAGGGCTGTTTACGATAATTCGAGTTGGAGTAAGTACGAGTTAGTTTCACCAGAGCCGAGAAATATGATAGATACAACATCTAATATTTTCATGATTTATGACAACTCAATGCTGTCCGATAAATCGAGTAGAGTAGAGTTAGGGTAGTATAGCGGATAGTATATGAATTAACAGTATCAGGTAACATAGTTTCGTAAAATATATAACAATAATATTACGAAACAATGATTTATTACATTTTAGAAAAATTAGAAGCACTAAATTAAATTATGAAAAGATATCATGTATTTGTGAAATATTCAATAATAACAGATTAATAATAGGTTAGAATAATTGTTTTCTACTTTTGAATATTTTACAAATACATGATATCTTTTCATAATTTAATTTAGTGCTTCTAATTTTTCTAAAATGTAACAACTCATTGATTCGTAATATTATTGTTATATATTTTACGAAACTATGTTACCTGATATTGTTAATTCTTATACATATACTATCCACTATGTTATCCTAACTCTACTCGATTTATCGGACAGCATTGAGTTGTCATGAATCATGAAAATACTAGATGCTTGTGCCTATCATATTTTTCGACTCTAGTGAAACTAACTCGTACTAACTCCAACTCGAATTATCGTAAACACCCAAGGCTGCGTTCAGATTCCCCACCCGGGTGTATTCTATTACTAAAAGTGCTATAGTATATGTCACATATATTATAGTGTTTCTAGTAATAGAGTGCACCCTGATGAGGAATCTGAACGCACTCTAATGCCCAATTTCTTCACCTCCGGTTAACTTTATCTGCCAGTTATTATACTGGAATTGACCAATCATATTTATGGTTGGCAAGATTAACCAATCACGGTTGACATTTGTCCGACAGATAAAGTTAACCGGAGGTGAAGAAATTGGGCATAAGACGATCTTGAAATAAGATTCGACTATGAATACCGGCCTATAAGAAGTTTTATGTAGCAGAAAACTCATTTATTCAGTCTACGTTTATTGGTCGAACAAGTACTTATAAGCTTTATGATTGGCTAGTAGAGACTTATGACGTCTTAATCGCTCTCGTAGCGATTAACCCAGGGACAGTCGAACACGCTATTAGTTATCTGCGCAGATTACTCGAGTTTTCTGCACATAAAACTTCATGCATAAAACGTGAAGTATTATGCGTACCAACCCTGCTTGCAACTAATGTAGAACGACTTTAATAAGCGGTTGTAGTATTAAATACATTCATTTTTGTTTGCATTAGGGCAAATAGGAGCATATTGGAGCATACAACGTGAACAAACTTTCAATTTATCTGTTTTTTTAGCTGCACGTTGGAGCCCGATTCTTGACGGTGGACGAATGAGATACGCATGCGAAAATCTACAGTATACGTAACGTGAACTATACATTTTTGCATTTGTGTATCTCATTCGCATACCGTCAAGAATCGAGACCCAGAACTAGTGCAATAAGTTAAAGCGAAACAAATATACTTTCTCTCATTCTAACTTGCACTAGTTCAGAAATGCAGCTAAAAAGAACAGAGATATTTCACAACTCCAATATTCACTGCCAGTACTAAAAATCTATAGTATATGTGACATGAACCATAGATTTTCAGTATCGGCTTTAAATATCGAAATATAGCTATCGTTACACGCTGTTATACTACTTGGGAAAGCAAAAGTCAAAGCTAGGTTCGTTAAATTCTTTTTCACATAATCTTTGACGTTTAGATACAACGTTTTTGCCCGTTTATTTGGGAAATATTGTACAAATATTAGCTGGACGACAAATAGTAGTTAGCATTTTATAGAGATAAAAATATCTTTAAAAATAGCTATGTAGTAACGATTAACATCGTTCGTTATTAATAGCAATAAATGAAAGTTTAATTCAATTATAAATAAATATTACATTAAATTTTTCAATCTTGTATGTGTTTATATTCAATCGTCGATTTGCACTGATTATTTAAAGCGTCGAAATGGATTAAATCCAGTTGTCAAGTCAGCCAAGTGGTCGGTTAACAATTAAGTAATGTCATTTTTGTTTTTTCTTCAAGATGAACAAAGGCCGATATATGCTTTAATAGTTAACTTACTACTTAGTTGATGTAATCAGATTTTAGTCATAATGTTTATTAATTTATACTAATTTTATTTATTTTAGTCATAACACTAGATATAATTTTGTCTTTATAATAAAAGGAAAACTATTTTATAAGTTATAGAACTAATCCAAAAAACAATAGTTTGGAAAGAAGTAACAACAAACGATTTTATATTATACATAATTATTGTGTAAGTTCTTGTTTTATTTTTAGTACAGAATACAATTCAGAATACCAGATACCATATGTTGACTAATGCAATGCTCAGTGAAAGATAAGATAAATAACAGTGCTGATATAAATAACAGTACTGACACTTGTAAACTTCACAAGGCAAAAGGCAAGCATAGAATAAGAACATCAGTATTATTAGCTACATATCGTGTAGAGTCCCAGCATAAATTAATTATTGTTTAATGATTAATCATGTCACCGAAATTACCATCAACATTGGATAACTTGTTCAAGTAAGTTCTTTTTATTTTTCAATATATTTTTATATTATTTTATATATATATGTTATATATATTTATAAAAAATATATGAATAAATTTAAGTTTGCAAATATCTAGAATAATCTTTTTATTTATCTTTCTTTGTTATATAATTTTTTGTTATATAATTTTTTATTTTGTACTGAATATAGGTATATAGATGATCATGCGCAGGATTATATAAATAACTTGCGAGAAGCAGTAGCTATTAAATCGGTATCAGCATGGCCAGATTATAGGAATGAGGTAGTGAAAATGATGAAATGGGCAGAAGTGAAGTTAAAGAGTCTTAAAGCAACCACAGAATTGGTTGACATAGGTAAACAACCTCTCCCTAATGGTACTGAAATCCCACTTCCTCCTGTATTGCTGGGAACTCTTGGGTCTGACCCAAAAAAGAAAACTGTGCTGTTATATGGACATTTGGATGTACAACCTGCACTAAAGGAAGATGGTTGGGACACTGATCCTTTCACTCTTGTTGAGAATGATGGGAAACTTTTTGGACGAGGTAGCACAGATGATAAAGGACCAGTTCTTTGTTGGATACATGCCTTGGAAGCTTATAATGCGACTGGAGAAGATATTCCTGTCAATCTTAAAGTATGTTTTAATGAAATAATGAAATTTGACTAAAACATTAAATATTTTACTTATCCTATTTGTTATTTCTTTCTTTTTCCGTTTAATTGTTATTTTGCAGTTTGTCTTTGAAGGAATGGAAGAAAGTGGAAGCGAAGGTTTGGATGATTTGCTTTGGGCAAAGAAGGATACTTTTTTACAAGGTGTAGATTATGTCTGCATATCAGACAACTATTGGTTAGGTACCAAAAAGCCTTGCATTACTTATGGTCTACGAGGCATCTGCTACTTCCAACTAGAAGTCACTTGTGCTGCTAAGGATCTGCATAGTGGCACCTTTGGCGGAACTGTACACGAAGCCATGGCAGATCTGATTTACTTAATGAACAGCTTAGTTGATGTTAATGGGCGGATTTTAGTAGATGGAATCTATGATAATGTGGCTAAATTAACTGAAGTAGAGTTGTCCTCTTATAATGATATAGATTTTGATGTGGATGAATTCAGAGAGACTGTTGGAACCAAGAAACTGGCGCATAAAGAAGACAAAGTATGTTTATTATAAATATTATAAATATTATAAGATCTTTTTAGGATTTAGTTTAAAGTTGGGAAATTATTGTCAGGAGTTATAGTTAGAGTATTGTCTTATAATTCTAGAAACGTTTATATATTAAATAATTCATTCTGATTTTTATAGATTCAGCTTCTGCTCCATCGCTGGAGACAACCTTGTTTGTCTCTTCATGGGATCGAGGGTGCTTTCAGTGAGCCAGGAGCGAAGACAGTTATTCCAAGAAAGGTTACTGGTAAATTTTCAGTCAGAATAGTTCCTGATATGACTCCAGATAAAACAGTTGAAAAGGTAGTCGCATACATGAATAAGGTATGGCAAGATAGAGGTAGCCCAAATATCATGAATGTGAGCATGTACCATGGCAGCAAGGCATGGTCCGAGAATCCTGATCATCCACATTATCTAGCTGGCCGGAAAGCTACCAAACATGTTTATCATGTAGAACCTGATCTTTCCCGCGAAGGTGGCTCGATTCCTGTCACATTAACATTCCAGGAAGTTACTGGCAAGAATGTATTACTCTTACCAGTTGGTGCAGGTGATGACGGAGCGCACTCGCAAAATGAAAAGTTGAATATATTCAACTATATTCAAGGGGTAAGCATAGTTACAATTATACAAAGTGCAAATTCAAAAGTATTATATGCTAATATATTTTTAATTTTTTTTATAAAATTCTTAGTTTTTTAGAGATATTTGATTATAATGTTTTTGAATTTACAACCTACTATATATACACGTCCTCGTTATGTAATATAATTTATCTTGGCTTTATTTGCAGACAAAGTTACTTGGAGCTTATCTTTATGAAGTAGCTCAGCTATAATATCTTGTTAGTATTTATCTATCAAGGATTTAAGTGGTATATTGGGTTTTCTATTATTACAGATTTATGGTATATTATGGCAAGATTAACTAATTATATACATTAATTAATTATATGCGCTGCATCTCCTGTTTTATTTGATAAACATTTTTATTAGGACCCTACAATTTTTATTTTGATATAACAATATTCAGTATAATAGTAATATTATATTGCATATAATATAGTATAATATCCTGATCAAAAGAAATTTCTTTCTAATTAAAACACTTTTATAATAAGAATGCAATTTATTGTTTTATTTCTTTTTTAATCGTGCAACACAAAAATTTACATATGTATTAACATAAAGGTGATAGATGAAATATATTTTTTGGTAAAGTAAACAAGTATTTTCTAAAACCAAACCAGTTTTTGTATGAAATATCATCTTTTATATATTGATTTTCAATACCCAAGCTGGCTGATTTCTATGTGCCTTAGCAGGTAATTGTATTGTTAATTTATCATCAGTTTGTTTCCACTAAAAAATTAAGATATAAAGTTATCTTATCACAATCTTTGTGATATAATTCAATAAGAGCAAAATACTCACATCGATAGCCGACGGATAACCAAGTAGATAGATTTGAGAATTTTCTGATGGTTTAAGTGACCCCAAATACAATATATCATCATTTGGCCATTGTAAAATCGAAGCATAAAGTTGTTTGTTATCTTTACTTTGTGTGTACCAGACAGTGCCTGTTAAGGTATCATTTTGCACAGACCAAGGTTTAGTATCATAAATAGCCTCTCCGTTAATCGTTAACCAAGCACCTAAAAACATGCTTATCTATGTGTTATCAACATTATCTAAATCTAATAAAAATTATCTAAATCTAATAAATAATATGGTAAATAATAAAAGATATGGTAGATAAATGTACATACCCATTTCACGTAGTCTTTCTTCAAATATCGGCGAAATAATGCCATCTTTTGTCGGTCCAACATTCATTAACAAGTTCCCACCACAACTTACGGTGGTTACCAATTCTCCCACTAATCCCTCCAGTGTGTAATATTCTGCAAAAACGGCGTTTCTACGAAATCCCCATGATATTTTGTCGATGGTCATACAATTCTCCCATTTGTGTTCGAGAAGTACACCTAGAATATATAATTGTTACTTTGGAAACCTGACCAATCTGCATTTGATACATATTTTCTATATTCAATAATATCTATTGCATATTATAATTTTTCATTATCAATTTATTACTTACCAGGGTTAAAACGATCTGTACATGTATAAAAACCACCATGATGGCATGCCATATTACTACCCCATCTATCATTCACCACCACTGTATCTTTTACTGGACTTTCATTATACAACCATGCTAGAAATTCCTTTGATTTCCAGTAAGAGTCAGATGCTTCCCAATCACCATCAGACCACACTATCTCTGGCTTATATGTTTCTACTAACTCTTGTAATTCTGGCATTGTCTTTTGAGTTACAAATGTATCTGTTGTAAAATTATTCTTCTTGTCTGCCAGATAAAGAGGATTATACCATTCAAACATAGAATGGTAAAGGCCAAATTTTATGTCAGTTTTGCTTCTAATGGCTTGTGCCAGTTCACCTAGAGGTTCATAGAGACAAATATATAAGAATTCTTTTATGTAATATTGTATTATTGTACGTGTATACTTTACCAACAAGATCCTTTCGAGGTCCCACATCCATAGCATTCCAGCTGAACGAATACCTTGATGGCCACAATGTATATCCTTCATGATGTTTGCTTGTCAATACAACGTATCTTGCACCTGATGCTTGGAATATTTCACTCCACTGGGTCGCATTGAAGAATTCAGCAGTAAATTCATGTGCAAAGTCTTGATAGGTAAAGTTGGGGGGATATCTTTCTTTCATAAAGTCACGATATTTTGTATTTGTAGTTTCTTCTGCAATATTATGCAAAGTTACATTAATATTTTATTAGTTTATGTATGATATTTTTAAATGTAAAAATTTAATTAATGGTAAACCTTTCCAATTACTCCAAAACCATTCAGAGCCAAAGCTGGGCACACTGAAGACACCCCAGTGAATGAAAATTCCTAATTTTGCTTCATCGTACCAAGGTGGAAGTGGGCGACTGTCTAGACTATCCCAAGTTGGCAAATACTTGATCACAGTCGTCGAAACTGACGGAAAATTAATTTGACTATTTTCATCACGTTTAGTTATCACAAAACATTGATCATCTGCCAACACGCATAAGATCAACACGGCGTACAAAATATGTACAAACAGAGTCATTCTGTCAGCAGAAGTTATACTGAAAGCAGTGTTCGCCGAATGCATCTTTTATTCGCATCTGCTGCATCAAATCTCGCCAGCGAAGCTCTTACTTTCGTGTACTGTTTGAATCATCGTATTTTGAGATTAGATTAAGGTCGAGATTAGGCGAGTTTTTTAATTCATCGATGGATCCATTCCATGATGCGCAAATGCAATGTTTCGCTGTATTTACGCATTATGCGATGGATCCAATAGCTTATAATGCGACTGGAGAAGATATTCCTGTCAATCTTAAAGTATGTTTTAGTGAAATAATGAAATTTAACTAAAACACTAAATATTTTACTTGTCTTATTTGTTATTTCTTTCTTTTTCTGTTTAATTGTTATTTTGCAGTTTGTCTTTGAAGGAATGGAAGAAAGTGGAAGCGAAGGTTTGGATGATTTGCTTTGGGCAAAGAAGGATACTTTTTTACAAGGTGTAGATTATGTCTGCATATCAGACAACTATTGGTTAGGTACCAAAAAGCCTTGCATTACTTATGGTCTACGAGGCATCTGCTACTTCCAACTAGAAGTCACTTGTGCTGCTAAGGATCTGCATAGTGGCACCTTTAGCGGAACTGTACACGAAGCCATAGCAGATCTGATTTACTTAATGAACAGCTTAGTTGATGTTAATGGGCGGATTTTAGTAGATGGAATCTATGATAATGTGGCTAAATTGACTAAAATAGAGTTGTCCTCTTATATGATATAGATTTTGATGTGGATGAATTCAGAGAGACTATTGTATCCAAGAAGCTGGCGCATAAAGAAGACAAAGTATGTTTATTATAAATATTATAAATATTACTACTGTGTCCAAAAAGTAAGACCAGTTTTCAATTTAAATCGCGCGGGTAAACCGCACATCATAAATATTTTTTTTTTCTAAGTTGGTAGCATTGTGACAGACATCTGTGACAAATTTCATGTCAAAACATTCATTACTTTTTGCTTTACGCTTGGTTTTGTACGACGCTAAAAGTGCATTCGGCGATTTTTACAATGTCTAATTATATTGAGCAAAGAAGTTGCATTAAATTTTGTTTGCGGAATGAAATTTCGGGTGCAGAAACGTTCAGGATGTTGCAGAAAGCCTTCGGGGACTATGCTTTGTCGGAAAGAAATGTTTACAAGTGGTATAAATAGTTCAAAGAAGATCGTGAAAGTGTTGAAGACGAAGAGCGTTCCGGACGACCATCAACCTTTACCGATGAACAACACGTCAAGAAAATCGAAGAACTTGTGCTTGCTAATCGTCGAATGACTGTTAGAGACCTTGCTGATGCTGTTGGTATTTTGAAAGGATCTGCCAATACCATTTTGAAAGATATTTTGGGCCTGAAACATCTTGGTTTTTGCATCACGATAATGCACCTTCTCACACTGCACTCGTTCTTCGTGACTTTTTCGCCAAAAATTCGATCCATATCGTTCCACAACCACCGTATTCACCTGATTTAGCACCGTGCGACTTCTAGCTATTCCCGAAACTCAAAAGACCACTGCGGGGAAATCGTTTTGAGACGATAGAAGAGATACAACGTGAATCGCTACGCGCTCTGAAAGCCATCCTGGAAGGCGACTTTAATTCTTGTTTCGAGGACTGGAAAATATGTTGGCATAAGTGTATTGTGTCGGAAGGGGATTATTTTGAAGGCGACGAAATAGATTTGGAAGAATAAATAAATATTTTTTGAAATAAATAAAAACTGGTCTTATACTTTTTGGACACAGTAGTATAAGACCTTTTTAGGATTTAGTTTAAAGTTAGGAAATTATTGTCAGGAGTTATAGTTAGAGTATTGTCTTATAATTCTAGAAACGTTTATATATTAAATAATTCATTCTCATTTTTATAGATTCAGCTTCTGCTCCATCGCTGGAGACAACCTTGTTTGTCTCTTCGTGGGATCGAGGGTGCTTTCAGTGAGCCAGGAGAGCCAAGACAGTTATTCCAAGAAAGGTTATTGGTAAATTTTCAATCAGAATAGTTCCTGATATGACTCCAGATAAAACAGTTGAAAAGGTAGTCGCATACATGAATAAGGTATGGCAAGATAGAGGTAGCCCAAATATCATGAATGTGAGCATGTACCATGGCAGCAAGGCATGGTCCGAGAATCCTGATCATCCACATTATCTAGCTGGCCGGAAAGCTACCAAACATGTTTATCATGTAGAACCTGATCTTTCCCGCGAAGGTGGCTCGATTCCTGTCACATTAACATTCCAGGAAGTTACTGGCAAGAATGTATTACTCTTACCAGTTGGTGCAGGTGATGACGGAGCGCACTCGCAAAATGAAAAGTTGAATATATTCAACTATATTCCTAAGGGGTAAGCATAGTTACAATTATACAAAGTGCAAATTCAAAAGTATTATATGCTAATATATTTTTAATTTTTTTTATAAAATTCTTAGTTTTTTAGAGATATTTGATTATAATGTTTTTGAATTTACAACCTACTATATATACACGTCCTCGTTATGTAATATAATTTATCTTGGCTTTATTTGCAGACAAAGTTACTTGGAGCTTATCTTTATGAAGTAGCTCAGCTATAATATCTTGTTAGTATTTATCTATCAAGGATTTAAGAGGTATATTGGGTTTTCTGTTATTACAGATTTATGGTATATTATGGCAAGATTAACTAATTATATACATTAATTATATGCGCTGCATTTCCTGTTTTATTTGATAAACATTTTTATTAGGACCCTACAATTTTTATCTTGATATAACAATATTCAGTATAATAGTATAATATTATATATATTCAGTATAATAGCATAATATTATATATTATTCAGTATAATAGTATAATATTATATATTCAGTATAATAGTATAATATTATATTGCATATAATATAGTATAATATCTTGATCAAAAGAAATTTCTTTCTAATTAAAACACTTTTATAATAAGAATGCAATTTATTGTTTTATTTCTTTTTTAATCTTGCAACACAAAAATTTACATATGTATTAACATAAAGGTGATAGATGAAATATATTTTTTGGTAAAGTAAACAAGTATTTTCTAAAACCAAACCAGTTTTTGTATGAAATATCATCTTTTATATATTGATTTTCAATACCCAAGCTGGCTGATTTCTATGTGCCTTAGCAGGTAATTGTATTGTTAATTTATCATCAGTTTGTTTCCACTAAAAAATTAAGATATAAAGTTATCTTATCACAATCTTTGTGATATAATTCAATAAGAGCAAAATACTCACATCGATAGCCGACGGATAACCAAGTAGATAGATTTGAGAATTTTCTGATGGTTTAAGTGACCCCAAATACAATATATCATCATTTGGCCATTGTAAAATCGAAGCATAAAGTTGTTTGTTATCTTTACTTTGTGTGTACCAGACAGTGCCTGTTAAGGTATCATTTTGCACAGACCAAGGTTTAGTATCATAAATAGCCTCTCCGTTAATCGTTAACCAAGCACCTAAAAACATGCTTATCTATGTGTTATCAACATTATCTAAATCTAATAAATAATATGGTAGATAAATATACATACCCATTTCACGTAGTCTTTCTTCAAATATCGGCGAAATAATGCCATCTTTTGTCGGTCCAACATTCATTAATAAGTTCCCACCACAACTTACGGTGGTTACCAATTCTCCCACTAATCCCTCTAGTGTGTAATATTCTGCAAAAACGGCGTTTCTACGAAATCCCCAAGATATTTTGTCGATGGTCATACAATTCTCCCATTTGTGTCCGAGAAGTACACCTAGAATATACAATTGTTACTTTGGAAACCTGCAATTGACCAATCTGCATTTGATACATATTTTCTATATTCAATTATATCTATTGCATATTATAATTTTTCATTATCAATTTATTACTTACCAGGGTTAAAACGATCTGTACATGTATAAAAACCACCATGATGGCATGCGATATTACTACCCCATCTATCATTCACCACCACTGTATCTTTTACTGGACTTTCATTATACAACCATGCTAGAAATTCCTTTGATTTCCAGTAAGAGTCAGATGCTTCCCAATCACCATCAGACCACACTATCTCTGGCTTATATGTTTCTACTAACTCTTGTAATTCTGGCATTGTCTTTTGAGTTACAAATGTATCTGTTGTAAAATTATTCTTCTTGTCTGCCAGATAAAGAGGATTATACCATTCAAACATAGAATGGTAAAGGCCAAATTTTATGTTAGTTTTGCTTCTAATGGCTTGTGCCAGTTCACCTAGAGGTTCATAGAGACAAATATATAAGAATTCTTTTATGTAATATTGTATTATTGTATGTGTATACTTTACCAACAAGATCCTTTCGAGGTCCCACATCCATAGCATTCCAGCTGAACGAATACCTTGATGGCCACAATGTATATCCTTCATGATGTTTGCTTGTCAATACAATGTATCTTGCACCTGATGCTTGGAATATTTCACTCCACTGGGTCGCGTTGAAGAATTCAGCAGTAAATTCACGTGCAAAGTCTTGATAGGTAAAGTTTGGAGGATATCTTTCTTTCATAAAGTCACGATATTTTGTATTTGTAGTTTCTTCTGCAATATTATGTAAAGTTACATTAATATTTTATTAATTTATAAATGATATTTTTAAATGTAAAAATTTAATTAATGGTCAACCTTTCCAATGATTCCAAAACCATTCAGAGCCAAAGCTTGGCACACTGAAGACACCCCAGTGAATGAAAATTCCTAATTTTGCTTCATCGTACCAAGGTGGAAGTGGACGACTGTCTAGACTATCCCAAGTTGGCAGGTACTTGATCACAGTCGTCGAAACTGACGGAAAATTAATTTGACTATTTCCATTATGTTTAGTTATCACAAGAGATTTATCATCCGCCAATACGCATAAGATCAACACGGCGTACAAAATATGTACAAACAGAGTCATTCTGTCAGCAGAAGTTATACTGAAAGCTGTGTTCGCCGAATGCATCTTTTATTCGCATCCGCTGCATCAAATCTCGCCAGCGAAGCTCTTACTTTCGTATGCTGTTTGAATCATCGTATTTTGAGATTAGATTAAATTAGTGCGCGCAATTTCCTAGGGGGCGGCCGGCATAAATCATTGAAAATCAAGACTTGAGCAATTTCTGACCGCTCGCTATGTAGAGTTAGTTGCGCCGGCAATCTAGAGATGGCGCATTCAATCATTTCATCTGCGCTTAAAATCGAGACGTTTCATTGGTTACAGAGCATCTTCAGATGATCGTAAAGCTATTTTATATGTAAGGTAAAATTGGATCTGTATGAATATCGGCCTTAGTTGTACGTCTTCGTTACTCAGCTTTTATTCGCCATAAAAACAAGATCGTACAAATTTAAAATAAGGGGAGGATTGCAGACTGCTCGTTATCAGGCGAACATTTACCGGCGTTTTCAAGCAGGATTTCATCAGTTACATATTTAAGAAGTAAGATCTTGAATCGTCAAAGAACATCGTGATTCAATATGGCTTGGGTACCTTTAGAATCGAATCCAGAGGTGAAAAATCTTTCTGTTTAATCGCAATACGTATCAATTGATCGTCAATTGAATCATGGCCTCTGTTTCAGGTTATGACGAAGGTGAGCGGGCGTAATGTTCGATCAATCAATCTTCTTGTCTCAACGATGTCTACAGCTGTCCTGTACAGATTGTACAGGACGACTCATTGATTAACGATATATTTTTTCGCGAAAAAAATTATCCGAGCAAATAATCTCACCATAATTCTCGGCTGCGAAAAGTTCAATGTCTCTGATGTGTATTTTTGTAGTTCCTCCATAAATTGGGCGTTCCAAAGAAATGGTCGATCATAGATGTATACGGTTTAGACCCGGAATTGTTGGCGATCGTCCCTAAGCCGGTTCTTTCTGTAATTCTGCTTTATCCTGTCACTATAAAGGTATTGTGTAACTAGATATACTATATAGAAGATATGATAAATATATTGTAACTAATATATTCATCTTGTTCCTCAGAATGACAAGACTGAAGAAGAAGAAGAAGCAGCTAAAGAAAGCAAAAGTGATGCTCCAGATTCAGTTTATCATATGAAGCAATGTATCTCGAATGCTTGTGGAACAATCGCACTGGTTCATAGTGTAGCCAATAATTTGGACACGTAAGTATTTATGTTAGTGCATAATAATAAATTCTAACATATATGTCATGTTGTAGGAGACAATATGTTTATTTTTTCTTTTTTAACAATATAGCTTGCAACTTGAGGATGGTTTCCTCAAAACATTTTTGGATGAGACCAAAGGACTTCCATCTGCTGAGCGTGGAGAACGTTTGATAAACGCACAAGGCATCATTGATACTCACATGGAATCGGCTCAGGAGGGACAAACTGAGGTATTTTAGGGCTTCATAATTGACAATTGTTTAAATTATGGGGTTCAGAGAAATGTATATATATGTAACTTATATCTTTTTTTTATTTCTAGGCACCTGGGGAAGATATGGAAGTGTACCACCACTTTATTGCGTTTGTACATAAGGATGGTTCTCTGTATGAACTAGGTATATATATTTAATATACATCTGTTTCATATGAGAATATTCAAATGTTACTAAAAAATGTTACTAAAAAATTTAATTAAAAAATTCTGACTTTTAGATGGTCGGAAACCTAGTTCCATCAATCACGGCTCGACCTCATCAGAGACGCTTCTGGAGGATGCCGCTCGCATCTGCAAGGATTACATGGCGCGCGATCCTGAGGAAGTGCGTTTCACGGTGGTCGCACTCGCTGCCAATGAATGAACGGCCCTCTTATCCCAAGTGCATTTGCCTTTAAGCTAACTTAAGTTCAATTAATTTATTTCGTATATGACTCGTACATTTTATGCTTCGGCGACGCATTTATTTCGTTCAATTGTAGCTTTTCTATGTGGTATGTGGCATATTGAGAGATATTTCAAAAACGAAAAAAAAAACGAAGAACATTCAAAAGAAGTTTACATGTGCAGTTGTTCATTACATAAGTTTGCTTCTATTGAATGCATTCCACAACTTACCAGATCCCCAATCTGTCGCACGGACCTTACATAGACTTTAACAACGCCAAAAATACAAATGTAGTTAGCAACATACCGGCAATTTGCCAGTGAATTCGCTGCAGATTGCCATCGATTGCAACTGAATTAGATTTTGCCAGCAAAATTCGCAGTTATAACACGACAGAAAATTGGCGACAAAAACGGAGCGAATTGGCCTTGCTGAATACGATATACCTTCCATCGAATTAAACTTTCCGTCGTTATTCTGTTGATAAAATTCGAAATAGACAGTTTATGAAATCTGCTCCTAACGAGCTCGTTTGTGCAAGGATATTTTTGATCGCTGAAAGAGGAAAAAAAGAAACTAAATAACGCGAGATGCTGTAAAGAGACAACAATAAACTACAGATACTGTGCGTCGATCAAAGTCCCTGTGCTTTATATAATCAGACGAGCGTGCGCCAGAGCGAGTTTCAGGGCTCGCGAATCGAAATTGACGACAAATTAGATTCTATACGTTTCCCGGTTTGACAAGGTAACGCGTCACAACTCGGTAACATTTGTTGTTGACAATCAGCATTTTGTACACTTCTATATAGAGCGAATTGAATTTTGTACAACTGAAACATATTCGCTTATGAGTATTCGACCTCTAATTGAGTGATTGCGAACGTTGAGATAGAGCGACAATAAACACACATACATACATACCGGCACGATTTAATTAAATTTAAATTTAACTAAATCTATCAAGTGTCTTACTTTTTCGGAATGCAATTCAACATGCTCTTCCGTTGCCATACGAAAGTATAATTACGTGCAAGCAAGTGTTCATTATGCGTATATATGTACGTAAATATAACGAAGACATGGCAACGCATATTATCAGAAACCGCAAAACGCGCTGGTCACTGACCAGTCAGTCAGCGCGAGCGTTCATCTATTTTGGATCCTTTTCCGAGATTACGCGCCTTGGCACGGCTCTCCAAATAGTACGGCTTTAAAATATAAAATAAAATTAAATTCCAGAGCAGAAGTTCGCGAAGTCAGTTGTTTGCTGTGTGCGGCGCGTTACGTAATATCGTTTCATTTCGAAGTGCGCGTTTCAAAGGATGCGTTATACGGAACATTGTCCATTAAAAGGCGGAATTACAGTTGCAACATGTATAAATCTTGCTTACTACTATATATTAAAATAGTTTATACACTGAGTATACTGAATAGTTTATATATAAAGAATACTTGAAAATTTATTTGTGTGGGATGTAAAGTTTATTTTTGTAAGATATAAAGTTTATTTCTATGAATGAACTTTATTTCCCACAAATGAATTTTCAAGTATTTTTCTCAGTGTATGGACTTAGAACTTCATATGTATGTTCTATGTTATTTTTCTCGATTTATAGGATGTTCATTGTAACTATTTTTTTTACAATGCTATTTTTAGTTACAATGCTAAATGAGATATTATAAATGAAAATTTTTATATCTGAAACTACACTGAGAAAAATTTACTAAATTTCAAAAAACGTTTGTTTGGATACTACTGTGAAGATATTTGTTTAAATTAATTATTTTCTAAAATTAAAGAAACAAATTTGTATTTAAAACTTCTTTATTTAATTTTAGAAAATAATTACTTAATTTAAACAAATATCTTCACAGTACTATCCAACAAACGTTTTTTGAAATTTAATAAATTTTTTTTTTTCAGTGTATGTTGTGTCGTGAGTTATCAGAAATTTACTTGTATTAAATATTGCAAAAAATATCGCAAAAAATACCTCGTCAGACATATAGTGTGTGTGTTGTGTGTTCTGTGTGTGCGTTGTGTGTGTTTACCATAATAATATTTCCAATATTTTTAATATTGAATTTATTTTGGTTCTCTTTACAAAGCATTATCGATAAAACAAGATATGATTTTATTTAAAAAAGTGAAAATATTTTTACCTTAATATTTTTACGAAAAAGGAATGTTTTCGAAATTTTTTTCATTGTATTTTATTGTCGTTTAGAGAGAGAGAGAGTGATTAATTACATCTAAAATTCCTTACTTGATTTTTGTAAAAATATAGTAGATACTGTTACAGTGAACACACACATACTGTATATTAGTGAGGTATTTTTCGCAATATTTAATACAGAATTTCAGAATAACGTGATCTCGCGACAACGTGGTTTCGGACTGGTGGTTTCGTGGTTTCTATAGAAAATTTCATTTATAATAATTCATTTATAATATTTCATTTATAATGTATTCATATATGTTATTCATTTTATTATTAATTTCATTTATAATAATTCATTTATAATGTATTACTTTTTATAATATTAATCAGCGTGAAAAATTATTTTGAGCTCAGTCCACTTTGCGTGGATTTTTCCATGAAATGTTATGGAAATGTTATGGAACGGAAAATTTCGGGATAAATTACACTTCCTTTCCAAACTAGCGCGATAAGAGTACGATGTTTTTTTAGGATATTTCCATCGCTTAGTCGTTATTTTTTATCAAAGGCATTACAATGTGCGTCATCCTAGCGGAAAGTTTTATCGTCTCGTAGTCCGGTGCTGCGTTGCGTTATTAATGTTGACGTGTATCGCGGTTTATTGTATTCTTACAACTAAATTGTGGTACACGATAAATCGCGCGAGTTCTATTTTTCTATCAGAAAAATGTAGAGCATCATCTTGCATTTCACGTGTCTTAAATTTGCTCCAGCCCACAAGCCGTAAGTTGTAAGCAAATTGGTCTATCACACTCGGTTATCCTTGGAAAATCCTACGTTTAAAGCAAGGTTGTGGATCAAGGCTTCGTTTAGAATACTAATCGCGGTCGATCAATAACACATAGGAATGATGAATGTAAATTTGTCGTACAACCTAATCAGTTATTTTCTTATTCGAACGATCATTATCGCGTATTATCAAACTACTTGACGCGAAGCGACGTGTGATTGATTAAGACAAGAGGAGAAATATAAACTCAATGTATTGTATTGTCGGTGATCTGAGGAGCCGCGTGAAAGCTCAAACCTATCATTTTCGTCGCGATAATGTCGCTCGTCAAGATAAAATACTGTCCGGACGTTTTAGCTCTCCGAGGACTGAAAACTCACCGAGAGCAAGCTCTTTCGCGTTTTGCGCGGCTTCTCGATAGTGTGCTGTCGGCGGCTGATAAGCGGGCAACGCAGAGCAAATTTGCGGATAGCATTGCTTTAATTAATGAAACCGTTTATGATAGCAATTCCGCAAAGTAATTAACCGCGACGAGCACGCGCGACATTTCAGTATCTACGTTTCGCCAGGGATTCGAGGGTTTCGCAACGCGAAACAGTTACGATCGTGTGTGTCGAATGAGTCGCCGAAAGGAGAATCTCGTCTATTCGCACACGCGAATTCCTCGTCTCCTCCTCTTGCTTTTCTCTCAGGCTACGATGAAACGCGTCAAAACAAGAGCGAGCGAGCGAGCCAGCGACTGAGAGAGAGAGAGAGAGAGAGAGAGAGAGAGAGAGAGAGAGAGAGAGAGAGAGAGAAAAAGAGAGACAGAGTTGAACGTAAATTATGATACGTCTACGTAAACAAAACGTAAACTGTGCATGAGATGTTTTCTATAGATAATGAGTAATTTACATATATCGTTTAAAGAATGTGTGGCTTGTGTTTAAAAGTGAATTAAAAAAGCTCTATATTCTTACTTAATCTTTAGAATTCTTAGATTAGATTTATGATTGTTATTACTTAAATGAATCAGAATCCACAAAATTCTCTGTTTATATTCTTATCTACAGAGTTAGTTTATCAACCTATCATATAATGAAACAACACAATTTCGCGCAATCTGTCCGCTTTTAAACGTTATATTTCTAAGTAATATCTAAAACACAGATACGGTGTATGGCTCTCTCATAATTGAATATTGCTCCTCTTTGTACATGTATAATATAAAATTCCCAATATTTTCTACACTTTCTAATTTACACATTTGCATGTGAAAAACGAGCAGATACCGTGTGTATATCACGTAAAAAATATGCAGACAAGCTACATATGGATATAATCTTGAAATTCACAGTGTGACCCTGGAGCGAACTGTCGGAAATCCTCTGGGTTTGCGCTGCGTACAGGTGCGTAACGTGCTCGACCGCGTCGTTCTGAGAGTGCGTTTAAGGTCAACTCATGCCTATATAAAATTACATGCGTGACCTCATTTCCATTTCTGGTGAGCGCATTGTCCGATTTTGTGGTTGCGCGCTGTATATGTATGTGCGTGTATATATACATATATATAATATAATATATATATATATATATATATATATATATATATATATATATATATATATATATATATATATATGTATCTATATGTTCGCCGATATAGCGGCGAGTTCAACACGCCGCCACTGCGTGTGTATATATACGTCGATATAAATATGTTGAATGTAGTCCAGACATTATTTATCGCGCTCCTTGCACAGCTCCCACATCGGTTTCCTGCGTCAACTCGTCTCGGCTGCGGTTTACATACATGCGCTCGGCCTTGGCGAATTGCTCCAGCGAGAAGTGCATTCTTACTCCGACTGTTGGAAACCTTCACCATTTCTGAGCGAATCGAGAGGGAAACCTTCGCGACCGTTCGAGGACGCGCGCTGTCGACGGCGAAGCTGGACTTCCCGTCGACATTGTGAGGAGATCCTCGATGGAGCGCGTGAGCTGCCACGCTCGGACTATCAACCACGTCAACGACGGATGACGAAGTTCGATGTCCTTCGGACGATGCGAGCGGCAAGCCTCGGAGAAGAGGTCAAGGAAAGCTAATTGCCCAATTCTTCATTAATTTATCGTAGTTTATTCGTACGAGCGCGAATTTCACTTTCGATCGCAAGAGACAGAGAGAGAGGGAGAGAGAGAGCGAGAGAGAGCGAGTACATCGACCTGTGTCGCTACTGTATTAGCGCGTTGCACTCTTGCCATTTAAGGAGTCCTTTATACTTCAGACGCAAAACGAAGCCAATATCTAGACGTTACTTCATTGCTATTTTATTGCAATCGCGAGAAAGTAGTGGATCGGCCGTATCGTGACGTACTCGTATGCGCTTTGATGTAATGTTTAATTCGGTTGATTATACCTCTTTTTAGTCCGTTGTATGAGACGCAGTCGACTCTAAATCTGTGATTTTATAAATCTGTAAATTTCGTCTTTGGTATGAATTAAGATCTGGCCTGACTCTATGAATTTGTAAACGTTGTATATTATTTATTTTGGCGACACCGATCTCTCTCTTTGTAAGTTCAACGGTCTATATGCTGACCGCGCATTTAGGGTTACATACATAAGTTTTTTTTAAATAAAATAGCATTACACAAGACTTCAATGCAATGCGAGTTTAAATTTGGGATCAGTAAGTCGCGTGTAATGCTAGACATAATTCTATGAAGCATGCGTTTTGTTTTGATGCGGAGTTTTGGCATCTTCGCATGCATAAATTGCCGCAACCGTGCAGGAACATGCATACTGCATTCAGGTGAATGTTACTTCCTTCGATTTCATGAGTTGATACACCCGTAAATCTATTACATGTTTATAATCATATGTTGAATTTATTCGTAATACATTCTGAGTCTTAGCGAATTTAGCATTTCAATTACGAATATTAAAGTGTTTAAAAATATCAAATATAAAAATATTGAAAAGAATTTTTTTTATAAAGTTTTATAGTATTCCTGTAAAAAGCATAAATTC